CGCATGTCCAGTTGAAATGCCAATGACTTGCCATTTTCAATGGTACTTGGCACGTCAGCGTCAGAGTCAGCGTCAGAGTCAGAGTTAGGCTCAGAATCAGCCACAGCCACAGCCTCAACCCGAGCCTCAGCCTGAGCCTCAGCCTTAGTGTCGGACGCACGTCACGTTAGGCGTATGGCCAACCAGAAGAGTCACATATGCAGCCCGACGCCCAGATGGATGGCTCGCGGATGTGCGGACATGCGTAGACAGGCAGAGGCGGCGTCATAGCTTCCAAAATTTCCTTATCAAAGTTGTGGACCACACACAGGGAGAGCTGCACCTTGCGGCGCTGGTTTTAACAACTCCATGTGCCATAACACATTCTTATCAGCGTCTGAGTCTTGGCCATGATGACTATTACAAAACGATGAAGATAAAGCTGAGGCTCAGCTGGAGATGGAACGCCGTGGCTCAAGCTGTGGCCATAGCTGTGACTGAAGCTGTGGAAGGTGTAGAGAGCTGGAGCACTGCTGGCTGCCGCTCGTTGGCTGTGCACGCATCGTCATGTAAGCGCCACTTATGTCACTTGTGCCGTTGATGTAGAGATGGAGATGGGGCTGGAGATGGAGCTGGAGATGGAGATGGAGACTCCGTTGGAGCACACGAGCACTCGTACTCAACGCATGCAGCTCCAGTTTCTAAGCAGCAGCTGCTTGCTGCTCTTGTTGTTGCTATTGTTGTTGCTACTTCATAATGTGCTGAGCTTGATGGGATTAACACAAACGGCCAACACATCTCAAGCATCTAAAGTTGTGTGCCAGTTTGTAGCTGCGCTTTTTACACAGTCATCACCATGATCAACGGCCCCCAGCAATGGTCCCTATAGCTCCCTCTCTCTCTCATAGTGTGTGTGTATGTGAGTGTGAGTGTGAGTGTGTATGTGACTGAGTCTACGCTTGTTTCAGTTTCTGTATCTGCGCACTTGAGTGTCTCCAGGTCTGCAGCTCTTCAGCCCCAGCGCTCTCTGCACGCTCAGCACTGAACGCGCTGTCTGCGTGTTGGCTCAAGAGCTAATTTGCCTGTCAGCCAGTCAAAAGTTTATGAATGATAGCCTGAAACCGGTCCAGGTAGCAAAACATCACATCCACATCTACATTCACTCACATTTACATGCACACGCATACACATTCACATTTACACACATACATACTAATGCCTGTTTCCAGCGTAATTATTTTATTTGATTTTGTTAATGTCCAAGCGAGAACTATTTGCTTAAGCGTTTGTGCAGCACTATCAATTAGTTAAAGCTTTATCGCCATTGGTCATTGTTTTCGGAAGTAATTAAGACCCAATCGAGCGGCCAGAGCAAATAGAACTTAAATCATATTTGCTTAGGCGTTTCGACACTCCAAAAAATCACAACGCATTGCGATAAGTCTACCGTTGCCCCAAGTGGACAACGTTCTGATAGCGATTGATAGCTCACGCTTGTAAATCAATAACTACCAAAAAAATCTGGAACGCCCACAGTTGACAGAATTTGGGGCTACAACAAGTAATTGAATTGTTTATATCAGCGCCAAACATGTGTAGATACAAATGTATCTGGCGCAGTGTCTGTATCCGTATCTGTATCTGTATCCGTATCTGTATCTGTATCTGTATTTATGTGCCGTGTGAATACGAATCTGAACAAGGCCACTCAATAACATGGAGTACGATACGATAAAAACTTTCCGACAATTTGACAGCTTTCGGGCTGCCGTCGTTGTAGTTGCCGCTGTGGCTTGCCGTTACCATTTGGACATGGAGCCAGCTCGCCTAGGCGTTTTCTAGATAGAAGCCCCACCGAAACGCAGAACTGCCAGCACTCTTGTTGTCTACGCGCATAGCTCGAAAGTTAATTTTTCAGGCAACGAATAAATAATTAGCAGGCATGTGCTAAGTTGCCTCAACAATTTTAAGGAAAACGAGTCGAAATTTCTAGAGATGTCTATGGTCGACCCTCTGAATACTCTGTAGGATTGATTAAAAGCAACAACAACTTGCACTGTGTATTACAATATAAAGAGTGGATGCCTATTTTAAGATTAATTATTTCAATATTAAGATCAAAATTGTATAATCTAATTGAACTTTTTTCTTCCGTACGAATTTCAATAATAAAGTGAAAAATATCTCTGATGTATAATAAAATATCGAATAATCGTATTATTCAAATGAAGCAACCAAGCAATATATAGCTGCAAATGAATCTTTATTGGCTATTTTTAGGCCCAGTAAAAATCTTATATACCCTTTCAATGCAGGGTATTTGTATAAAAAATACAACTATGGGAGAAAAACTGACATTCGATAAAGGAATGAACAACGGATTCTTTCGCATGATGATTTTTAGGTAGCTACCTTGAGTACTTTGAATTTTGTTGTTGTTCTACTCTGTGTGTGTGTGTGTAATTGGTGAGATCGAAAAGGTTTATGTTTAACACTGTTTTCAATCAAAAGCAACTATTTTGAATATTACAGCATTGTAAGTGAGACACAGTTCAGTGTAGCTAAGTGTTATGCATATATCAAGACATATTGTAAGATATATGCTATTTATAACATATGTATGCAAGCAATTATGATATTAATATTTAATTTCGTATTAATTTAATTTTTTGGTTATTTTTTAATTTTAATTTTTTTTTGGAACAACGACCACTCACGTCCCTGACCTGTCTGGGGAGTGTAGTTTTAATTAAAACAATATCAGTTCTCAGTTCTCGTGATTCTTGATTAAAAACAAGAAATAATAAGGTCGGCTGGGTCTTAAAGCGTTGCCTTCACTGTTTGCACAAAGATAAAAACTTTATGGCCAACCGCAGCAAATAGATAAAAGGGGAAGATATTAAGGCGAAAACTGCGACTAGGCTGTGATTTATGCGATTTGAATGTCGTAGTCGGGCGGCTTTCTGATAAGTCACGCACCCGAAATACGCTACACTTCGAGCAGGCGCTTATCATAGGCGACTGATGGCGTCTGCATTGCAGTTCCACGAGTGCAAGTATTTGCCTCGGGACTCTTGTAAATGCAGTTTCGAGTAGAAATGTGAATCATGACAGTGACGGGCACAATATAAGCGAAAAGACTGATAACACAACAAAGAAACTCACATGTGAAAGTGGAAGGAGAAAAACCGTGGATTCAGCTGACGCGCCAGCCCCGAGACGGCCGAAAGCGATATGTTATGGCAAAGGTAGAGGTAAAGGTGAGAGGTGTACGCGCCGCTGCTTCGGTGCAAACAATCGCCAGATAAATTGTGAAACGGAAATGAAACACCTACGCAAATAATGCAGGCGACGCGTAGACACAGGCGCACACAAACAACATCCTAATTTAGATAAGAGCCGCCAAAGCAGCAGCCGCACCACCGGCATCAGCATTAGCATCAGCAACAGCATTAGCATCAGCCGTGGTAACAGCAACAGCAACAGCGTTTTATGGCTAAAGAAAGTAACCACTGCCCTGTACCGGCTGCCCGCTGCCCGCTGCCCGCTGCCCGTTGCCCGCTGACCATTGTGTGCTCTAATTAATGCGCGATGGCGACCCCGTTCCCGAGTGCGAAATCAACCCGTAGCAGACTGCAAACATCGCCGTTGCTCTAGACTTGCAAATGATTAAACCTCTACCTCTCTGGCATGGCGGTGCTCTACTTTTGGTGTCACCTCGATGTCGACTGCGCTGCTCGCTGCCCGCTGCCCGCTGCCCTCTGTGCGCTACCCGGGCTGGGATGCTGTGCCTGCTGGACCCACGGCACTGTCGTTGTCTATGCGGCTCGCTTGGCCATAAAATTGGCATTGTTGTGTTTAGCAAACACGCGCGCAGTGCGGTCGTAAAACAAAAGACGCTTTTATGGCTGTGCTCATTACGACACACGCAACAAATACCCAACAGGAGACACCGACACGCTGACGAAACAAACAACTACGAAAATCCTTAAACTCCTGCTGACAGAAATACAGACACTAAAAGGAGTATGCTTAAATCCCAGTACATGCACCGATACATAGACAATACTTTATGCCAACTTATTGAAATGAAATTAATATGGAATGATTAACTGATATTACAGAATAATCCATCATAAAGATTCTATCATAGCAACTGTCGACATATTTTATTATGATTAGTTAAGACACTGCATGAGCATAAATAAATATATGTACTCCCTAACTCATTCTTTTTTGTATTTTCTTATTTCCAACAAATTTACTTCATCGAGAAAAAAGTAGACAATCAAAATGACAGAGTAGGATATAAAACTAGTTTGGGGTAGTTTTCCACATTGATAGCAAATACCAATTCAATCTTAGCTTAGTCTCTCAATTCAACAAGTTAATCGTTTTATGGATGATATAGCGACGGCTGTCTATTAGCAATTTTTTTATATATAGAATGCTCACTCAAATGATTAGATGTATATTAAATATAATTTTAGAAATATTTATATAAAAATTACAATTAATTTATCTTGCCTGACATACATATGCTATATGAGGCACATTCTTTCTGTCCGATGAATATGACTATACAGACGAGAGGAATATACATATATGTACATAATTATATCAATTTAAACCTTTAACTTTTTATTTATACATGAAACATTTAATGCCATTTTATTTATATCGGGCGGATTTGGACCAACTAAAACCGGTTTTATAGAATTCCACTCTTTAAGTTTGGCAAAATTCTATGACGTAAAACAAATTTTGCTAATATATGAGAATAAAGCAAAGAATTAGAGAAAGAGATGTGAAAGATGCGTATAACACGACCAAATTAGTTTGTTTGGAATTCGCATAATGATATTAAAGAATATAAAGGATTTCCCAAGCCCTAAAAATATATTCATTTGAGTGAAGCGAAGCCACGTGTCTGGGGCCCTAATGTAAAGCCTTAATGCAAAGCAAACACCAGAAGCTTTAAACTCTTCGGCAATGATTTGTTTGCCTGACATATTAGAGTGTTGCGTTCATATTTTACTTTACAAAATTTGGCAAACAATTAAATACGTACTAATGAGCATCGATAATTGGGTTGGGCTAAAAAAAAAAAAAAAAAAGAAGAAGAAGAGAATGGGGATAAATAACATGTGCATCACTGACATCGCGACGTCGACGTTGGCATCGCCGTTGACGTCGGCGTCGGCGTCAGCGTCGGCGTCCGCGTTGCTGCTGTGGTTGATTTTTGACAAGGCGAAGCCAACGAGTCGGTAAAGTATTTTAATTTGTGTGAAAATATTGTATAAACAAATAAATCAATAATAACAATAAAAATAAATATTACACATTTCATACATATTGATATGCGCACACAGATACAAACAACCAAATATAAGTGTATCGGTGATAACTTGGTCAAAGCGGATATTTTTGTAAAGTCACAGCCACACGACGCATGCGTCATCTGAGTGCTTAAATCGAACAAAATGCGCTGCATTTTAAAGCTATATAAACAGTCAATGAAATAGAAAACAAAAACAACAACAACAACAACAACAACAGCAGCAGCAAAACAAAAACTAGTTATAAAGCAAATATTTTTCATAAATATATATGTACATGTGTCTGTCGATGCGTCTGTTTATTGGCCACCCACACGGCCAACGCGCGTCGACAATTGAAACTAATTAAAAAGTTTGAGCAGGGCTTACGCACTCGTACTCGATCCGAGCCGAGTCCAGCCGAAACTGATTTCGATTCAGATCCAAGCCTATGCCGACCAGACCGAATTGACCAGGCCTGAAAGTGGCGCGCTTTAAAAGTAAATAAATAAATAGATAAATTACTAAAAGGTAAATAAATACCCGAATACATTCATGTACTCGTATGTATATTTTTGGACTACTGCGAGTATTTGCTCTACGTCATCGGAAAGTGTTGCCCCCGGACAAACAATGATGGGCCAGGGACCAGGCAGCCGCTGGCAGGGACAAGAGTGCAGGGGAACTGGGGATCGCCTGGGAAATAGTACAATAAAAATATTAAATATTTAAGCACATTATTAGAACGGCACACAAAGGCGCGAGGAGCATTTGAACATTTCAGTCTGCATCAAAGAATGAGTATCTTTGTGTGTGCTCATATCATGATATAAATAGCCCATATTGAGTTGGATGTGTGTATCTGTAAGTACATAAATACATCTATATCTCTGTCTCTTTCTCTCTCTGTGTGTGCGTACACTGCTCTGTTGTGCTCTGCTCATAAACAAAGCAGTATGTACATCAAATACAATTAAATGTATCGCTTGCATGCTTTGAAATTGTAGTTTTAATTATTCATTTGATTATGGAATAAATTCAAATTACAATTTTCGAGAGAGCATATTAATTAGACCCTAATAAGTAGTCTATCTATATATTGTATTATACTCATAATAGACAATTTCAAAGAGAACCTGAGAGAATGCGTAAAGTTATTTATCTATTGCTCTCGAACTCTTCTCTATAATGGGGGTCAATTACATGTGTATTGAAAATGAAATTATTTAAGCAAATAATGCTTCACTTTCTCTCGTGTAATACTGAATTTGGATGAAATGCAGTGAAACAAATATTTTAAAATATTTATATATATCAGGGGTTAATTACTGTGAAAAATGAGAGACAGATAGACACGCAAAAATATAAAATGTTTTGTATTATTGTCACGCAAAATTAATTTCGATTTAATGCAGGAATTTCGACTAAATTAAATCTAAATAAATGTTTTTGAATATCGAAATGCCTTGCCAAATACCATAATGATATGTGAGCTTTGACATAGGAACTGAAGCAGAGACTAGATGTAAAACTGCACAACAGCACAAGCGATTTCCAATGTGGGATTTCCGCATATTTGTATATTTCAGGTAACACATAATTGAGTAGAAATTTTCATTGAAAAACTTTGCGCACCGGCTCAAGAACGAGCACCAATACGAGGGAAAGGCAGCAGGAAAGAGAGAGAGAGAGCGGGGACGGGGCCGCGGATGCAAAACGTAAATTGCCCTACCCATAAAGCAGTTATGGCCGTGATGATGATGAGTGAATACAAATATGACACACCGACACACAGACACACTCGCACATGCACACACATACACACACACAGAAAGATAGTGAAAGGGTTAAATGGAATACACAATGGAAGGCGTCAAGCAGAAATTGCTTAAAGTTTTTACAACCGAAATTAAAATGCGTTTTATCCACGGCCATAAACGGTCGGCGGTCGATAGTCGGTGGTCCAGGAAGTATTCCACATTGCACGCGTGCAGTTTAGCATCAATGAACTGCACTCAGGTAGAAGAAGTACAAGTAAGATGACGACGCATCCAGAATTGGGTCACTTTCGCAATGACTTGCCAAAAAAGAAAGATGCGGCTGCTACTGCTGCTGCTGTTGCTGATGGCTGCTGCTGACGATTGCCGCTGACGGTTACTACGGCTATTGCTGCTGCTACTGCTGCTGCTGCTGCTGTTGCTGCCGTTGTGCGCGACGCCTCGCTACGAATGTGAATGAATGAGAGTGACATTGGCGTACCTTAACCTCAAATGTGCAAGCTTTAAAAAAAGGAAGAAAAAACACACTCAAACACACACACGCACACACACACAAATACAGACACTCAGAGTGGTATTATTAATGTCTTGCTTCTTTGGAGCCATACACTCATTCTTTTTGTTTTTGTCACAAACGCCGTCGACATTCTCTGGCTAAACACAGCGCCTCAGCCGGCAGGGCTGGGGCTCTGCGGCTGGCGTGTAAGCGGGAGCGCGCGATTATTGATCGTATTAGAGAAAATCGTTAACTGTAACATGGCGTCGCTCACACAGCGACAACACGCGGCATTAGAGCTCTCACTGCTGGCTGTCAATGTGTGCGATTGTGTGTGTGTGTGTATGTAATTGTGTTAGTGCTTATTTGTGGCGTGTACGAGGCAGCTGACCGTGCTCCACAGGCAACAGACAACGAGGGCGTTGCTCGCTCGCCGCACGCTTTGGCTCCGCCCATTTGTTGTCTTGGCAACCAGGCGCTGCTCTGTGAACACAAGAGCCCGCTGGCCAATGCGCGTGCGCTGCCAGCGCTGTGTACGTAAGAGAACCGGAGCCTGTCATTGGCAAGACCTCGGAACCGGTGGTGAATCGTGGTGCCAGCTGCCGCTGCGAGTCGCTGTGTGCTTGTGTGTGAGTGTGTGCGAGTGTGAGACGGAAAGACAGCTAACGGCTGTGGGTGAGAGCGAGTCGGCGCTGTCTCTGGCAACTGACGCAGTCGCTGCTGGCGTCGCAGTCGCTGTCATCGTCATCGTCGGCGGCACTTGAGCGCGGCTCGAACAATATTTGTTGGCAGCAAGCGCAAGCCAAATAGTAGACAAGCGTTCCCCTCTGCAAACAGTCACATTCAAGAGCTCAAGCCAAAGAGACACTCGAGCGGACCAGCAACAGCAACAGCACCGGCAACGTCAACGGCAACGGCAACGGCAACGGGAACAGCAGCAGCCGCAGCAGCAGCAGCCTCCAGTTGGCTCAGCAGCAGCAGCTCAGCAACCTCAGACTCAGACTCAGTGGCCAAAAGCAAGCTAACAATTCACGTTCGTGCGTCGGTTCGTTGCGGCGCGGCGCGCATTAAAATAGAGTCATATTTGCCACGTTATTTTATTTCCAAATTTGCACAAGGCATCAGCGGCGCACACAAATAAATTAATCAAAGTGTTTAGCTCAAGAGGAGCGACAAGTGCACAAACAAATGCCAAAGCCGAGCCAAGGCAGCACCAACGGTAGCAGCAGCAATCGACACCAACAACACCAATACCAGCAGCAACAATTGCTGCTAGAATAGAACTTTCAACAACAATAAGTGAGAAGCATAGTGCACGAAAATGCAGCAAATATTGAATTTAATTAATGTAGTGACAGTGCATTGAACAACAACAACAATAACAACTAAATTCAAATCGACATCGAAGCACCAAAAACAACAACAACAAAAGAAAACAAAACAGAAATTCTTTTTGTTCCTTTTATAATTTTTGTAAATCGAGCGCGCGGCTTAGGCGCGTCGACAATTTCTTCCGTAAATTTTTAACGCAGCGCGTTCAAAAAGTCGGCAACATAACGGCGCAATTATTGAACAGTTTTCTCAAGGGTAGTCCCCACCAGACCACCATAGATATAATGCAAAAGCTCTATGCTGAGCCGCCGCCCAGCAGCGCGCCCGTTAGCATGTCTAGTGCTGGCGGCGCTCCATCTTCAGGCGGCGGTGGCGGCGGCGGCGGCGGAGGAGGTGGTGGTGGTGGCGGTGGTGGTTCTATCCCGACTAGCAACAACAATCCCAATCCCACCTCCAATGGCGGCAGCATGAGTCCATTGGCGCGCTCCGCTTACACCATGAACAGCATGGGCTTAACAGTGGGCGGCATGTCCTCCGTTTCGCCACAAGCGGCGGCCACCTTTGGCGCCAGCGTCCTAGACTCTGCGGCGGCGGTGGCCAGCATGAGCGGCAGCATGGGAGCGGCAGCGGCTATGAACTCCATGGGCGGCAACTGCATGACCCCCAGCTCGATGAGCTACGCGAGCATGGGCTCGCCTCTGGGCAACATGGGCGGCTGCATGGCCATGTCGGCTGCGAGCATGTCGGCGGCTGGTTTGGGCGGCAGCTACGGATCGATGCCACCAGGCACGCGGGACATGGAGCCCGGCTCACCCAACTCCCTGGGACGACGGGGCGTGGACAAACCAACTACATACAGACGCAGCTACACGCACGCGAAGCCGCCCTACAGCTACATCTCGCTCATCACGATGGCCATACAGAACAATCCTACACGCATGCTTACCTTGTCGGAGATCTATCAGTTCATCATGGATCTGTTCCCGTTTTATCGGCAGAATCAGCAGCGCTGGCAGAACTCCATACGCCACTCACTGAGCTTCAACGACTGCTTCGTGAAGATACCACGCACTCCGGACAAGCCGGGCAAGGGCTCCTTCTGGACGCTGCACCCGGACTCGGGCAACATGTTTGAGAACGGCTGCTATCTGCGTCGCCAGAAGCGGTTCAAGGATGAGAAGAAGGAGGCCATACGTCAGCTGCACAAGAGTCCGTCGCACAGTAGCTTGGAGGCGACCAGTCCGGGCAAGAAGGACCACGAGGAGTCGCATCACATGCACCATCACCATCACACGAGTCGCCTGGAGCACCACCAGCACCACAAAGAGGCGGGCGGCGGCGGCGTGGCACTGGCGGGCGTCAACGTGCTAAGCGCGGCGCACAGCAAGGATGCCGAGGCGCTGGCCATGCTGCATGCCAACGCAGAGCTGTGCCTCGGCCAGCAGCCGCAACACGTGCCCACGCATCACCATCACCAGCACCACCAGTTGCAGCAGGAGGAGCTGTCCGCGATGATGGCCAACCGGTGCCATCCGTCGCTGATCAGCGACTACCACTCGTCGATGCATCCACTGAAACAGGAGCCCTCCGGCTACACGCCCTCCAGCCATCCATTCTCCATCAATCGCCTGCTGCCCACAGAGTCCAAGGCGGACATCAAGATGTACGACATGAGCCAGTACGCCGGGTACAACACACTCAGTCCGCTGACCAACTCACATGCTGCCTTAGGCCAGGACTCGTACTACCAGAGTCTCGGCTACCACGCGCCTGCCGGCACCACGAGCTTGTGACATCATCAGTACCCGCTGGCTTAAGGGCGCGCGGAGCAGATGCTGCGCTTTGGCGGCGGCGGCGGCTCGCATCAGCAGCAGCAGCACCAGCAGCAACACTTGCAGCAACAGCAACAGCAGCACCACCAGCAGCAACAACAGCAGCAGCAGCAGGCGGCGCAGCAACTGACATCCGCTACAAATACCACAACAAAGGCCAGCAGCAAGCCAGCGGTGGCCGCCAATTTCTCTCAGAAGTTGGCCGCCTCAGTGCAACAGCAGCAGCAACAGCAGCAGCAGCAACAACAGCAGCAGCAGCAACAGCAACACCAGCAGCAGCAGCAGCAACAACAGCAGCAGCAGCAGCTGCTGCATAGCCAACTCTCAGCGGAGCTGCAGGAAGACTCCTCCAACATAACCAGCGACCTCAGCGAGGAGCAACTGCAGCAGCATCAGGCGGCGCAGCAGCAGCTCTACAACAACTATCAACAATATGCGGCTGCGGCCAGTTATCGCAACTGGAATCACAGCCTGACATTCAACAGCGCCGCCGCCTTACAGAATCTGCTGTAGCCCAGCACAAGGCGCGGCTTTGTGTAGGAACTGAGCGACTCGCCGACTCGCTGCCCGAACCTGGCTGCAATCACAGTTGGGTACGGGCGGCCGGGCCCAATTAGCGAGCGACTGTTCAATGGCTTTTAGCACCTGGGCGCATCCTTTGAGCTCACGAGCACGTGAGTAAGGCTCCTACACTTGTAAATAGTTCAACCCAATCTTCTGGAAGCACATGCTTAGTCTTTGCCATTATGTTTTGTTCTGTTTTTTCAAGTCATTCTGTTGAGGAATTCAAGAAAAAAGTGATGTAGTTGTAAGCGCAGTAACGGCCACATATATATAGTTGATTCTATTGGCCGTTCAGCAATAGAACTTTGTTAACATTTATGTCTGCTAAAAACAAGAACTTCCGTGCCATTTGTTTATTCTCTATATAAGCAATAACAATCAAATCGGTTTAAATTCAACATTTTAAATGTGTGAGAAAGCAACTGATATAGCTACAAAAAGATAGATGAGAGAGAGAGAGAGAGAGAGACACCGAGAAAGAGAGACAAAGAGAGAGAGAGAGAGAGAAGAGCGGGATTGTGTGTAATGTCCATTACAAGAAAAGAAAAAGAAAATAAACACAAACAAAAACCAATTCCTTTATCTAAAGGCAATCGAATTCGAATCGCAAATGATCAAAAACCAAATAAACAAGAATTATCCAACAATTTCAAGATCCCCATTAAGAATCCTCAAATTTATCGAACTAAGCAACAACAATTGGCCATGCATTGGAAACGTCACGTTTTTATCATATTATTTATAAATTATTTCCATTTTTATTATGTGTCTACATACAATAACTAAACATCAATTTTTATTTGCATTGAGTGTTTTCTGTTCTTGTACGAATTCGTTTAGGCCTAAGCCATTTGTAAATAGTCTATAAATATATGTGTATGTACTATATCGTATTTAAGACAGCTAAATTTAAACTCAACGCCCGACGAAAAAAAATAAATATAAATAAACAAAACACAAAAAAAAAGAAAAAAAAAAAAATACAACAACAATTTAATCTAACTTGAGAATTAATCAAATTGTATGCTACACAAGATTAAAAAATATTGTATAGCATTTAACATTTAATTAGCATAAATAATAAAAGAGCAAGACGAAATACGAAACAAAAAAACAACATTGAACGAAAAACTGCAATTATTATTCAATAATTTTTAATATTAATTTTATTATTGTGCGTTAACAAAATCACACAAACACGCATTTTTACATCAAGCTAAGCTAATTGATTAAAATTAATATACAGAAATAGTTTAAATATGGATATGCAAAGAATAAAATAAAACACAAGAAATAATATACAATGTAAAATATTCGCATTGAAATTCATAAATGTCAGCAGAAAACGAAATAACAAACATCCGAAATCTAAAGCTAGTTAAATTAATATTATAAATCGTGCAAAAATTTAAAAAAGACAATTTTAATGTTTGAAATATAAAAAAAAAAAAAATGAAAAAATATCCACGATTTGTTTGAACTTTCCATGGGCTGAAAGTAATCAAAGCGCTGCCTTTGTTTGCTTAAACAACTGACCTCCAACAAGCAGTTCTGTATTGATTGGATCGAACTATCAATGCAGCAACATGAACGACCGATAGCGCCTGCGGACTGCACCCAACCCATCGAGCGGTTCCAAGAGCTCTCGCCTATCTTATCGCAACTCGGATGTAGAGTGCAGTTTTCTCTCCTTTTTTTGATAAACTTATCAGAGTGTGCTCGTAAATTGCAACGAACAACAAGGTAAACAATCGCAACAGCAACAGCAACAGCAACAACAACAACAACAATACTCCTCAGTTGCCCAGCCTAGCCAGCGTGATAGTTACCTATCCCAAATGCAGCAATGGAGGCCGCTGCTCAGTGTCCCTATATACTGGCTCGCAATATACATATGACACCTAGGACTGGCTGCCCTCAGCTATCAGCTTCTTATCTGTCCAATATAAATAACGACCGCGCCTGATCCGACGCAGTTACCCTTTACACAAACATATAGCACTTGGTATACGTACCTAGGTGAAGTTTCAAATGTATTTACATTACTGGGCCCATGGTTAGTTATCTTTGTGATTCATTTCAAGAATCTACAATTCGTCACATTCGTATGGTTGACTGTCTGACTGGCTGACTATTTGGTCGCTTGCCTGGCTGGGCTCTCATTTATAATTCTCGAGTAAAATACCTTTCTAGCGCTCCATCACACACACTTATCTGCCCAGTGCGGTGTGTGCTATGCGGTATCCGGTCATGTTTAACAAGCTGTTGTCTTTTTAATTAAGCAGCCTGGAAGGTCACCATTTTATATGTATGACCGTTGCTTTAATACATTTTATGGCTCTGCATAAAAGAGCGCGCTTTGTTTGTGGGGAGCACAGCCAGAGCCAAGAAAATGGCGTTGGTCTGTTAGACAACGACAACGACTTCGACTTCGATTTCGATTTTCTTTCCTTGACATTGTGGGCAACGTTAGAGTTTCTTCATTTTGGCGGCAAGCAACCCCAGTTGGATTGAACTGGTTTTCTGAAATCTGTGCTTTGGGGTTGCTGCAACCACCAAACCAGACCCCATTCGCACCAGCACCACCCTCACCCACACCACCCACTCCACCATCACCACCCACAATCAGTTTGTTCACATTCTATATTTAAGCCCCTTCATGTCAGACATGCGCGCTGCAAAGACGCTCGTGTTCGATGGCATCTGGGCAGGGGCAAGGGTTTGTTGAGCTCTGCTCCTTACTCTGACAGACTGGAGCTATCTATTCATAAATGCCAAAGCCAAAGCCAAAGCCGCTTCGCCTGGGCACGCGATCAATATGTAATTATTTTCGCATATGACGGACTAGTCCCTGCTTTCCGCTTTGCATATAAAATTCTATTAAAAAGTTTCAGCTTTTGGCTTCGAGTGGGTTCCAGCACCACCATCATCAAAAAATAAAACTGCCGCTGTCCCAATACAATTACAAAATTGTCATCACATTTTGTTGGGCATTAAAAATGTATGTGCTTCCAGTGAAGGCAGCTGTGGAATTAAATGTCGCCTACATTTATATATAGACATTTCAAATATTTATTGAAATGTCTATGTATATGTTTATGTGTATAAATTACCTCTGCCCCTGTTTTTTTAGCAAAACATGTGTGTTGAATAAATAAAGCTGAAAGTCCTTGGCTTTGGATTCAAATGAATATTAATAGAAAAAATAATAGAAATATTTGCTAATAAATATTCATATCTTTCTCTTTTACATAATATTTTTTTAGCGAAAAATATCATATTGTGTTTTCGAATAAAATCTTTCAATGAGGCTAGCTATTTAGTTAATTCCAGATCGCAAAGTATGCAAAATACACGTTCTATCTAAATTTTAATTGGACTTAATTAGTTGTATTTCTAAACCTAAAGCCTCATAGACAAAGAATGCCGAACACATCATAAAACATGTATACTATTATATTACTATTGAACGAGTAGATATAAAGTAAGTTGAGTCCAGTGAAGAAGGGATTTGTTCCACTTCGGTAGAACCACAAATGCGAATTGTAGTTTAGTCTCTACCTGAGAGTGAGCGAGAGCTTGGGCAGCATCCAATTAGTTGGTAAGCTTTTTCAGCGCATGTTAGAAACCACAATCTTGTAGTAATTTTCTAATGGAATATTTAATTTTGAAACGAGACACAGAGAACTGAACAGAGCCGGCAGCCAGTCCAGCTGCCACTGGGGCTGGGCATGAGGCATGGGGCTGGAACTGAAGCTAAAGCTGGGCCATAAAAGAGTATCTGCCATAAAAATGGCAGGCAATGCCAACTCTTTTACTCCCCAGTGCGGCGCACCCGTAAAAGAAGCAGCAGTGGCAGCGGCAGCGGCTGCAGAGCCAGCTTATACCGGATGGATACACAGGAAGTAGTGCCACCGATCCCCGTCTCCGGTCCCCTCCCCATTCGCCAAAGCACAGAAAGGGCAAAGACAGCTCACGTAGCAATGGCGGAGGCAACATCGTCGTCGCCATCGTCGTCGTTGTCGTTGTCGACATCGTTGTAGTCACAGCACTTTTTTCTTTTAGCTGCAGGGGCAGAACTCGGGTAGCCCTGCCCGTGCTGCTGCTCCTGCCCTGCCTTGCCATGTCTGTGTCATGGGCCGCCCCTTTCGTTCGCTTTGTGCACTGCTTTTTCATTATAATAATACTTTGTAATTAGGTTTTCGAAAGTTAATTAAAATTCGGTTATGAAAGCGGAAACTTTCTCATGAACGCTTCCGGTAACGGTTAAATGAAAAACGCATGAAGGCGGGGCCGCAGCCACAGTGCCAACTGGTATTGGGGCCAGTGCCTGAGCCACATACCGGATCTGCTGCAAGAACTGGGTCTGCGACTCGCTCCGGTCCTTGTTAGCCAAATGGGAAATAAAAAGTGAAAAAGGATATTTTCGTCGACGCCCCGCCCCCTGCCCACTGTTACCCGTCCATTCGTTCAGCTGCAGCCACAGACAGGCAGACAGACACAAATTCTGGCAAAGAGTTGGAGCTTGAATTGTGGAGATTCAACGCACGGAGCTCAACTTTGTTTCGAGGAAATTTTTGTGCAAACATTTCTGTTAAATTAAAAAATACATATTATATTTTAATGAGCAAAATGGCTGCTGCTGCTGCTGCTGCGGCTTCTGCTACTGCCAGCGTTAGCTTTGCTCGTTGTTGTTGTTGTTGTTGTTGTTGCTGCTGCTGTTGTCACGTTTAATGCGCACCACGCCCATTCGCAAGGTTGGCCAACAGTGCAAACGGGATAATTAAAATGATGACTTGAAAATAAATTGCTGTTATCTTTGACCAACAGGCTGGCTCCCCACTCATGCTCCAGGCTCCACAGACCCACTCCCATTCCGTGTGGGCGCTGTGCTGTCTGTCGATGACGCGTCGATGTCGATGTCAACAGTCGCCACATCATTATGCCCCAACTCAACTCCGATTCTAGCAGCGGCTCAGGTCCTCGCCACACGCGCTCTCACAGCGAAAGAGAGAGTGTGTGTGTGTGTGTGTGTGAGTGAATGTGCTCTATCAGTGGCTGCCGCCGCTGCGTGCCTTTGAGCGACACTTACGGATTAGGCCAATAGCAACAACAGCAACAACAGCAATAACAGCAACAGCAACGAGCCGGGCTCAGGCTGACAAGTGCCCGTCTTTGGCTGGTTGTCCTTTTACTGCTGCTGCAATCGTCGACGCCGACGTCACTGCATTGTGTTTTGTTTATCTTAAACATTCCACACATAATTAGCAGCAAAGCCGTACCGTTAACAGTGCCTCCCCCTCGCTGGCTGCTCAGCCCGGCTGCTGCAAGCAAATTGAATTTAATCCGTGAAACCTTACGTTCCGAAAATGCGGGCACGTGTCCTCAAAATCACGGCTGGACCACGCCAGCACGCCACCACGCCAGTACACCATCACGCAAGGGGCAAGGCCACGCGTCGTCCTTTTGCCAGTTTGATGTGCTGGCAATCAAAACACAACAAATCGGCCCATCGGCACGAGTGTGAAGTTTACTGGGCATTATCTGAGAAGTCGGTGCCATAAGTTTCGGCATGTTTTAGAGCACACTCATGTCTCGTATCTGGGCATCTGTATCTCTAGCTCCAGTGGCCTGGCCAGCAACGGCAAGCTTAGCTGCAGCGGCATCGCATTAATCATATTCGGCAGTTGTGGGTGAGTGAGTGGGTGGGTGGCGACTTGTGGTTGGCTGGCTGATGGCTCGTACCCATGGCTCGGGCTCTACGCTGTGACAATGACTGATGTGCTGGCAGCAACGGCAGCAACGGCAGCAGCGACAACCGCCGCTTATCGATTGGCAGCCGCAACACACCTTTATCAAGCAGCCAACGCCAGCAGCCCCACTGGATTGGATGAAATGCGAGACGTCGCCAGCAACGCGGCTAATAACCAAATTGTGTTTTGACAGCGGCGGGCGAGAAGCCCTCACGGCGTGTGGCTAAAATCATTCGAATATGATAAATGTCCCGAATCATGTTTGCTTGACAATCGCCCCCAAGAGCCATCAGCAGTATTTTACGATCATTCATGCATAATTATGTAAGTATTCGCAAATTGACAGAGCTGACAGAA